GACGCTCCGATCAGTGTAGCCATCGACGCCTCGGAAAATGTAATCGGTGCTGTCCTACAGCAGTTTTCCAAAGGAAACTGGCAACCACTAGCGTTCTTTTCTCGACTTCTTCAGACAGCCGAAAGGAAATACAGCATATTTGGCCCCGAGTTACTCGCCGTTTATGCCGCTGCTCGCCATTTTCGTGATGTCCTTGAAGCCAATCGTTTTATGATCTTTACAGATCACATACCACTCGTCTACACCCTCCGAAACCTTTCGCCTCAACATTCTTCTCGTGAAGTTCGTTATCTAGATTTTGTCGCTCAGATTTTATCTGATGTCGAACACGTGTCTGGCAAGGACAACATCTTGACGGACGCCTTTTCATGAGTGAACTCTTTGACTTCAACAGATCAATCGCTCCATCTGTCAGCTATGGCCGAAGTTCAGCAATCCGAAAAGAACCTAATAGCATCCTGCGAGAAGTCCAGGTTAAAGTTGGCAATGAAACCACTTTCTTTGTCTACAGGCACAGTAATTTGCAACGTTTCGACTGGACATTCACGTTCACTTGTACCAACTGCATTTCTTCGGAAAGTCTTCGATAAGCTGCACAACATCACGCATCCTGGCATCCGTGCTTCAGTCAGGATGATTAGTGAGAGGTACGTCTGGCCCAACATGCAGCTCGATGGCAAACTTTGCGCACACAACTGCCTGACTTGCCAGCGGGCAAAAGTTATTCGACAAGTTGCCGTCCCGATAGGACGCTTTCCGTCAGTGTCAACGCGATTTCCCCTCGTGCATCTCGACATTGTTAAACCAATTCCGCCATCAAGAAAGCATAGTCTACAAAGTGACCACGGTGGATCGCGTCACTTGTTGGCCTGAAGTTGCCCAAATTCCCGATGTGTCTACTGAGGCCATAACGCGCTCTTTCGTTGAGCGCTGGGTCGCCTCACCTGGATGTTCAGTCCCCGTGACTGCCGACCGTGGTTCACAATTCGAATCGACGAGTTTCAAAGACCTACTCGAGGTCCTCGGACTTAAACGCATTCGGAAAACTGCTTACCATCCTCAGGCAAACGGAATGGTGTAACGCTTCCACCGACAGCTTAAAGCGTCGCTAGGTGCCACCAATGCACTCAGCTGAACAGAAGGCTTGCCAATGTTAGTCCTCGGAATTTGATCAGCACTGAACGCTGACCTGGAAATGTCCAGCGCCGAACTGGTTTATGGACAAGCATTCAGACTACCAAGCGACTTCTCCGCAAAAACCAAGCACTCCTCGTTACGACGCGCACTACGCTCGGCAGTTAGCCAAGAGCATCCATCGCAAAAATCGAGGGAAGTACGGAAACAACATCGCAAGCCATACGTTCCAAAAAATGTCCATCGCTGTCCGTTCGTCTTCATTGGCATGGATGGTCTGTACAGACCACTCGAAAGACCTTACGATGGTCCATGCAAAGTCCTACAACGCAAGGATCGCTACTTCGTCATCAAACGCAACGGCAAGAGCAAAACTGTGTCGATGGGCCACCTCAAAGTTGCTTACACTGAACCAGTGTCGAACGACTCCAATCCTCCGTCCTCCGACGAATCTATCAAACCGATAGTGGAAGAAACGCCTGCAGACAGGAACACCTCAACCGGAAACCAACCTCCACCTAGCCTATAAAGGTTATTAGGTCTGGTCGTCATGTTTACTGGCCGGCACGTTTCCTAGCACGTTAGCTTAGTGTATTTGATTCTAACAGCATTTTTAGGTTTGCATTCGCATCAGTACCTTCCGAAAGCGCAAAAAGTCACAAAATGTTTTGAAAACCCATGACAAAGACTTGGAAAAGTTAAGTAAAACTGAGGAAACATTTCGAAAACCTACAAAAAGAGTTGTTTCTTTGACTTTTCGCTAGTTGTTTGGTAAGCGACTTTCCCGTTCGTCGCTGTTGCCGATTCTCTTATTTTCCATGTTGCGAACCAAAGAACATTCACTCGTGGTCAAACACAAGTGATCGTAAGCTACGAAAGTTCTCACCCTTTCCTTTACCGGCACCTTTATGGAGGGCACCGGTGGGAGTCCGCTAAGGTCCGATAGCGCTAGTGCTCCTCCAGCAGCTGTGTCAAGTCTCATCACCTGGATTGTAGAAGGCTGGCTGGCGACGGACAGTCCTCACGTAGATCGAAGGGTTAACCAGGGTTCCCTTCTAGGAGGGGTGCTGCGTAGTGACCCAGAGATTCCTCTGTCTGTCTGGGTACGATGTGCAAAATATTATAAAAATATACTATCATTTTTTGCTTAGACAACGTAGGGATCTTGCCTGTTTGAACGATGACTACGTGTGTTTGAGTCAACGAGACGAACCGGATTTCACGCGATTCCGGCTTTCCCGTCTCGAACGGCGTTCGCTGCGGATCAGCTGGCGACTATACCTTTTCCCTAGGTAGAACCATTTTACGGTGCCTTTAGCTAGCGGGATTGTGCGTTTCGACAATAAACGTTCATCTCGCCAGGGAGATATTCACGGTCGACGATGGGGAGACAGGTCAGTGATTACATCCTATCCGCAAAGTGCTTGGCCAACCTCCACGCGGTCTATCATAGTGCAGTCCCACGCGATCAAATAAGGCGAAGCGTGGTAGGCGCTAGCATGAGAAGCATAGGACGTGGCCAAGCCATCTCAATTGACGCATTGCAACAAGGCGATTAAATGAAAGGCTCATGTCTCCCAAGAGCCGACACTGGACTTCATCGTCACGAACCCGGTGCTGCCATCACACGCCAGATGCACGCCGTAATGGCGCTTCGCTGCCACACGACAACCCCCATTCGCGTGTGGGCTGAGTATACTGCGTGGACACCGGTTCTTACGTGGAATCGAACCGGTGATCTTATGGGAACAAACCAAGCGCGTAAATGACTCGGCCACTAGCCGACCTGCCACCACATACGGGTCTCCTAAACAAACATGTGTTGTCGAAGGCCGAAGGTCGACGGCTGATCATGGGTGTTGAGTATAAACCAACACTAGTTTGGTAATGGATACCTTTCCAATCTATTCCAATCTGACTCTCGGGCATTACTTGATTTTAACCTCAACCCAAGCTAGTTATGACTTAGCGGGCAAATGATTTAGTAACCACATATCGCGAGTTTGTTGATCTGCGGAAGAGAAAGCGCTAGGCGTATTCTAAGGGGAGAATTGAAGAGGAAGCTGCAGAAGTTCCTCCAATTCAACATGCTTGTCAGGAGCGATATAGCAGTTCTATGTTATTTAAACCGAAGAAATTCCAGGTCTGCTCCGATCTCGCGTTATTTATCCAGATCGCGATTGAATGAAACAAGCTTCTGGAAAATGTGATCAGTGCATAGACAGAGGTATATTTCAAACGGCTGTCGATTAGCCGCACATCAGCATGTCCGCTGTCTTTTGCGGGGATATAACGTTTCGTCAGAGAACACCGGTTAGCAAAGACGCACAACAGTTAGCCAATAGTTGGAAGGTGATGGAGTCGACATGGGTCTTCCTATCTACTTTATGCAACCCCATGGATTCTATAAACTACCAAGTGAGTAAAAAAGGGAATAAGGGGCAGGACGGTATTATCAAATAAAATGGCACCCTCGAGACTGCACCAAATCACATTGGGTACCTGCCAAAGTTTGTGGTCGAATACGAAGACTAGACCACAGATACGGTAGCATAAAACTTCGGCCCGTTTCCTCAAGCTATTACGCACTTCCTGCCTGAAGAAAGAAACACCTAAGTCCTTGTACCGAAAGACGAGTTAATTAGTGAGACTTAAACAAAACAAGCACAATAAAAATCATTATCCCTGCTGGAACCGATAGGTATTCGGTTTTGCCCGCCCGAGAACAGCGTACTCCTTTACGCGTTTCGATCTCACTTGATCTAATCAGATAGAGATAGCAGGCATCGCACCCGGGACCACTGGGATGTTAGCAGAAGCCTACAATCCTACGGCTACGAGTGTTTCAAAATGACCCTCCAATCATGCATTAACCGTTGTGCGAAGCGTTGCCCTTCAAGACCCGGTGGTTTAGGGGTGGCGGTTACAAGTAACATTCCAATGGTCTCAAGTCCGATGCCTGTTATCTCTATCTAATCAGATCAAACAAGGTAGAAACGCGTCATGGAGTGGAGTGTTTTCGGGTGAGCAACACCCAATATCCACCCGTTTCATCAGTTACGGTCCCAGTGCTCGAGTTGACGATGGTTCATTTCAACCGGAATCGCGGTCCACATTGAGATTGCACGCTGCAATCCATTCACACAACGTATATTCCAAAAGGATCTTCTAATCAAATCGTATAGCTGATCGTTCTTCTACATCGAGAATCGGATTACAGTGGTTGAGGAGGTCGGCATGGATGGGTAAGGACAAATAAACTCAAGTGGACCATGCAACGCCCAGCGACTTTTCACAGTCATTTAGGTTCCAATTTTGTGTATGTGTGTTCGCAACCAAAGACCTATCTTGCGGTAATAAGTCAATAACGATATGTGAAAAATCTCACCCGCTAAATTCACAGGTTACTTCATCCTCTGGACGCCGACGCTCATAAAAGTCTGCGGCTCACCACAATAGGCTATGCATCAGGATGGTCCAGGCTAGCTATTGTCTCTCAGGCAAGTACATAACCAGTAAATTGCGGTAATTACCACAACTGACCTGTCGTCTGCATTAGTCGGCAAATAACAAGGAATAGGGCGTCAACGCAGATCAGACTTATTCAATGAACAATTTGCTTGGTCGGTTAGCCATAATTCATGGTACAAATTTTGATCGTAATTATACCCTTTATTTGTGAGGTCTCTTCAAAGTGTACTCATAAGTTCAGGAAAAAGTGTTACTAAACTAAAATAACTGACAACTAGTCAGCTAGTACTTTGGTGACTTAATGAAATCCAGTTATGTTTTGCGTTCCTGAAAGTTATAATTCCCTAACCGCAGATGTCACCATCGCTTTCGGCATTCATTTCCAACAAACCTACTTATCAAATGCAACAAAATCCGGTAGTAGAAGCATCCGCCTTTCCTGAACTTTGCGTCGCAGTGTTGCCATGCTACTCTCATAGTGTTCAAGCATCTCTTCCGTAGCACTGCTCCAATCCGCTGTGCCTGGTTTCGGTTGAACAAACGTTTCTTGTGGCATCACCCGAACCAACGGATGCTTTTCCAGTTGCGGTAGAGTGAACACTGAAAGATAAGTGTACAGGTCATTATGATGAATGCTGAGAACGGTAGGTAATGCGAAGAAAACAATTTAGCGTTGCTTACGTGTGATACAACAATCCGTACCAATAAGGTCCTAATTGTGTAGTTCTTGGTGGCACTCTGTTATTCATGTCAATTGTAATCGTTCCTTACGACATATAATATAGGGCTGCTAATACGTTCCAGTTGGGATGCAGAAACGTTATGCCGAAAGGAAAGGCGATTACTGACACAGTACATAAATATTATCATTATTCACTATCAGTTGGAAGTATCTGGCTTTAATTTATCCGTCTCGGACGTATTAGATCGAATTATTTTGTTTCAATAGAATTTTGAACAGGTAATAGGCTTTGACCTCATTTATGATTCATTGCTAACAAAATAGTTGTAGTAGTCGCTCAAATGGACGGCGACTTAAAATCTCAATCCGGAGCGAGAGTTGAATTGAGGTGAACATGGGTTACCTTTTTCTTTCAGGACCGCAACTGAGATAGCTTAAGGTTCGTAACTACCTCTCGCGACACTGCACTCTTCAGGTAGACAGTGCCGAACCTAGATTCGAACTCAAAATATTGTGACCAGCGTGTTCCCACGAACTCAGTGGTCCCAGGTCCGAGCTCCGGTCCTTTAATCGCTACGGGAAGAGTTCAAGCAGACATCAAACTAGACGTCAAGTTCCCTTTAAGGGACATATCACACCTCACACTTATTAGATTTGTAGCGAGTCGGGGCAAGAAAAATGGAGAGCGGCTTGGTAGGAGAAGTTGAGAATCATGGTCAAAACAACGCTAATGGGAAACCTCAGACTACTTACGCTAATCTATATATTTATTGTATGAAACAACCAGTTGACGCGTATTGTCTACCCACAAACTTGTAGACAGTAGTTGATTCTTCTATTTACCCTAATTGTGCAAGAAATGTAGAGCTCTCAAGGGGACCTCTAAGTTGAGACAATAACCGGTGCATTTCGCTATCTCGTTTGTGAGCAGAACATCGACGTTCCACGGTTAAGCTTGTTCTGGATGGAAGTAATGCAATAAGAACTAGCAAACGTGAGAAATTCATCAGAGCAGTAGCGATCGTTTAACGAAATATCGGTTGAATGGTTTAGAAAGTATCCGTCCCAACCAAATGCAGTCAGACCTTTACCACTTATTCGGAAAAGGGCTAAATGTGCGTCAAGTCGTGATGGAAATCAATGGATCGGATTCAGGCTGGGGAGGTTCCACAATAACTATAAACGGTTGTTCAACGGTTTCTCGACTATGCAGTGCTTGCCCAGATAAGTCTGCAACAGATCCCCATCATACTTAGTTTAAACCACCTACCACTCTATGCCGATTACTAGCTAACGGACTATGTTGTAACACCAGTGGACAGTTGGCAGCTTAGTTAAGGAAATCCTTGCCCAGAGGGTTAAGACGGTCCTCCAAACCTTGTCAACATGTATGGGACTGAAAGATTAACGACGTTTTATCACCATAAGTTGACATTCTTGCCTGCCTATCATCGTAGTCGAAGATCCAGTGGCTTGCGTGTCAGCGAATAAGAAGGTCCTCGGTGGTTCTAGCCCCACACACCAAGCTCGCAATTTAGATATCGTTCGTCTATCCCACCAAGTATTGGTTTGATCATGTTATCTACGATTTGGGCGTAGCTAGGCCTCATCAGCTTCTGGAAGGTCCCATTATTCTGCACAATCTCCTCTGCTCATAGGGGAATGGATCAACTTTCGTGACCAATCAGTGAGTGAATTTTGGATCTTACATTCAAATTTTTCGTCATAGATAAACACAAGCACACAGCTACTGAAATAAATAAACATGCTGAGAAGTTGTTTATCCCAATGAATTGGTCAGCGGAAATCCATCCCATCCAAGTTTTTGGATGCCATGAGAGTAAAATCGCTCTACTAGTTAATAGAAATAAGTAATTGGGTAGTTCCTAATCCCAACATGTAGATAACCGTTTAGCGACAGAATGCGTACAAATGGAATTTAACCATGTTGTGTGAACGGCATTAGACGAGATGGCGCATTAGAACATAACCAAGATATTTTCCAAGACATAAACATATAGTAGTAAGTAAACCATCCAATTTGGACCCAAAACATGCACATTATATTGCGACTGGTTTAATCAACGCACACGTCCAACATGTCGATTCTGAACGCTGAGTCGTCCCTTATTCATTAGCTTGCAGAGTCACTGTTGTGCGGCTCTACGCGCTGTCAAATTCCATGAGACTGATACAACTCACGGTATTTTGACGCGTGCCGCTTTGGCTGTTCACGAAACTTGGCTCTATTCGGAAGTCAAGCTGGTTAATGAAGAAGTCACAGTTCTCTCATTCCAATATCACGGTCGTGACGCGTATACGAGCGGCTGTCCACTGAGCGGCATAAACATAATATATCCGTCATGTTAGGTCACAGCGGAGTTAATATAGGCCGTAAAGATTTCAAAATGCGCAGTTACCATTTTCAACTTTGTACATTCACACCTCGGTCGTGGTTCACGCGCGCACCGCACAGCAGCTGACTCACTGACCAACCACAGTCGGCCAATAGGATGACGGGTTTTAGTGTAGAGATAGTTGTACGCAAGTAAACGGGGAAGAGATGCCAGTCGGGCTTGTCCGCGAGTGCCTTCTCACAATGCCGAATTCTATGTCGGGAAGGAGCGTACCTATGCCTAAGGTCGCTGGACAGGATGAAGTTGGCACACTGCAACCTAACAGGTCCCAGCATGTTGCAGCTTCACTCTTTCAACAGAGCTGTCGGCGGAAAGTGCTACTATTGGTCCGCATTATATCACGACCGGTAGTCTGTGTCCCTGCGCTGAAGTTACCAACCCCTTGACCGTTCAATGCAATGCGTGCAATGGACACATGGAGTAGGCGAGCCAACAGGTCCACAAACAACTGGCGCATCGAGCTGCCACATGACAGTTGCCAATGGTCAAAAGGACACATGCCATCTAAGCAATTTCACGTAGGCAAATTCACTGATGCGATGACCAGCGGCGCATTAACTTTCCTGAATTAATGAGACTGTGATTGTCCACAAATGAAAATGCACCCTGATAAACTCACATGATCAACAATATGAACTTCTCAGTGCAAGTGCCACGAGTGAACTGGATGCTTTTCAAATCAGAGCGACGCTTACGATGGATAGTGTGATAGCATGACAAAAAAGAGAGTGCTTAGTAAGGTTCAACTTTCGTTTGAGTGTCAGTCACAAACACTAGTGCACAAATCCGACGGTCGTCCGTTGAGGTAATATGAGAGCGAAGTATTATTGCCATAGTGGGAAGGGGGATCCACTCAAATGGTACGGGTAACGTAATCGCTATTTTTCACGTCTGTCATCGTGACCTCGGGCTCTACTCGTCGACGTAGCAGAGCACGAAATCCATAGATGCACTAACTCTGCTCCCGTTCATGCCTCAAAGTATCCCTCCATGATGAAGTGTGCAAGTTTAGTCTGTCCATATCGCCGTCACTCATCTATCAGGCACATCTGCTATCTTCCGTTGAGTGTTCATTATAAGAGATATCTGGAGATATACGCACCGCGCGTGATGATTTTTGTGGCCAACGCGTTTACAGTCGCATGTCCTCTGACTTAAGGGAACAATAGCGTTACTTAGAAGAATCTGCGTTGGCTGTAATGCATCGAATTGGAGTTCAAGGAGACTCTGTGCAACGTGGCGATTGTAAGGGAATCCCAAATTGCGTAACAAACTGAATCCCACTCGTGACTACTTGATTTCGCTGCACTGCACATGGTTCTTGATTCAGGCACTGAAACATTGCTGCACACAGCAATTTATGCAACCTACATCATCCCAGCCCAAAGCCATTTGAGATCAGCTACTGCCGGATTGCGTGCTAGCTAACGGTGACGTCGACGTTCATATACTTATGCACAGCCTATGTTTCGTACGGCATTTCGCGCTACACGTATTGCTTTCGGCTCTAGCGCGGAAACATTTGAGGTATCCATTACCTGATTCCCGGCTCCCTAGGCTATTTCTACCACTGACCTGTGGAAATGCTGACGGATTTAAAGCTAGGTGCCCTAGGATCCCATTTGATTTCAGGTAACCGAAAGGTGACTAAACGGCTGGATAGTTTAGAATTTGCCATCCTTCTTTATTCAGCGAGCAGAAGTCAATTTCTTCTGTGTCATCGATGGGGTGATGGCGCCACATGGCCAAGTTGGATGGGTTTTAGCCCAAAATACTAGCCCCATCTGTGGTTCCGGCGCTACATATATATTGATGGAAAAACCAGTTTGCACCATGTGGAAATATTCTCTCCTCTGAAGACATGCATATCTAGAGTGTTTAAGCATATGCCTAGGCGAGTAGCCGCAATTATCCACATATCTTCCGTTTGACACCGCTGCCCTCGGCTTTGTTGGTATGCAGATTCTAAGGGATAGCTACGTAATCCGGAACTGTTACCACTGATATGCAGCGAAACATTCCTCAAAAATGATTATCGTTTCTTGCGCTCCGCAGCGAGCACAATCGAGCTTTCCCCGGACAAACGAATCTCTTATTACCATCAAGTGTGCTCCATCGTTGCTCTGCAAAACGGTACACTCTAAATTCCTGATACATTTGTGCTGCATACGTAGACTGCTACGAAGTAAACGATCAAGGATGTTCGAGCATCGCCTACCCAACAACCACTCGATCTATGTGTTACCAGCCCACCATCTCACATGAGGTTGTTTCACGGCACAGATACAGAAACAGGTAGCTGAACGATGTTACGCACTACTTTTTAAACGAGCGCCCCGATTTTCCCTATCGCGAAGTTGTATATTGCAAGCGGGGCATTTAATAGTATTCCATATAAATACCCGGCATTGAGAAATGAAAATATATCACTTCTACGTATAAAAAATATGTTAATCAAAAGGCGATGGATTACAAATCAGCCATATGCACAACACGTCCGT